GTCGCCCAAGAGATCGAGCGCGGCGCCGCACCCCGGGAACCCATCGCCTCCACAATACCGGTGCGTGAGGGGCAGCGCGAGGCGCAGGCGCCGGCGCAAGGTGACGTGCATGTGCGCCGGGGGCAGCGTGGTGCCCGGGTCAGTCGGCACAGCCGCAAGCCAAGCCCCCGCATGCGGGCCAGACTGCGAGCGGAGACAAGGGCGGTCGCTCGGCCGCATTTGTGGCAGAAGCTCGGTCTCGCGAAGATGGGAGTTGAGTGCGCGAGACGCGAGAAGCTGCCAGCCATGCGGCCAATCGCCTGGTTCACTGTCATCCGCTACAGCGGGAGGGGCCGCGCGGGCAAGGACGGCGGCAGTTGCAGCGCGTGTGGCACACAAGAGACCAAGGCCGCCCTCGCGCGCTGGAAGCAAAGCAAGGCGGCGGGCATCCGGCCAAGCGGCGCCACGCTCGCCGAGGAGCGCTTGCAGTGTGCCCCAGACCGGCTCGTTGCTCTCACCAAGCCTTCAGGGCGGGTCAGGGGCATTGTTGTCAGTGATTTCTTCGCCGCCTCGTCGCACCAAGCCTGGCGCAGCAGTATGCCGCGCCCATCCAGGAAGCGTGCAGCCCGCATCAATTTGCTTTGTTTTTTCGCTCTGGCACCGTGCACGCCCTTTCTGTTGCAACCGAGCTTGACCCCACTGCCACCATCGTCTCCGCTGATGGGCCTTTGACACGATCTCTCGCACTGCCATGCTGCGTGGCTTGCAGTCTGTCCCTGGCGCCAATGTTTGCCTGCATTTCGTGCGTCTCTTCTACACCACCCGGTCGGAGTTTGTGTGGCATGACGCTGATGGCATCCCCCATGCGGCGTTACTTACCGTGAGATCCTTCGCTCCGTGCCAGCTGACTTGCAAGCCTCTTGTGCGGTTTGTTGGCAAGGTCATCCACCGGAAATTTTCTTGCCCGGGGGTCCAGCTGCTCATGCCTGCTTCGGAACAGTTGCTCGCCGAAGGTAGTGCCGGAACCACAGCAACCAACACATCCGGGCCCGCCGGGGCAACAGCCGCAGCCACAGTCACCCACGTTGGCCAGGCCCGTAACCCCTGGTATTCGCGAGGGCCCCCAGCCACTAGTGCACACACGCCAGCAGGCGCGAACAGCTGGTTGTTTGTCCTCTTGCTTCAGGCTGCAGCGAGGAACTTGCGCAGGGAAGCGTCGCACCAGTGGGAGGCGCACGCAAACTTTGGGCAGGTTTGGCGCGAAGCACTTCTGAGCCTCCGATGCGCAGGTCCACCAAGCCGCCCTGCCCAGTGTGCTCCAAGCAGCCTGCGCATCACTCCTTGCAGAGTCGTCAGTGTTAAATCCGGCTTTAAAAAAAAAATAAAAAAAAAAAGAGGAAAAAAAAAGAAGAAAAAAAAAGGAAAAAAAAACTGCTTCTTAACTGCCAGCGCCTTGGGATGCCGCAAACACGAGTGCAGCCACATCAGCACCAGCCGTAGCACCCGTCGCACGCAACGCACGCCCTGCCAGTGGTGCCGTCCAGAATGGGGGCAAAAACCAGCGCGGCCCCGTAGCAGTAGTTCACACAGCGGCGGAGGAGCCAGCCGCCATCGCCGAAGTCGCTCCGGCCGACGCAGCAGCAGCAGCAGCAGCCGCAGCAGCCGCAGCAACCGCAGCAACCGCAGCAGCAGCAGCAGCAGCAGCAACCACGGCTGCGGCAACAGCGCCCATGCCAGCCATAGCCGGAGCCGTCAGGGCAACCTACCAAAAAATGATGCCAGCGCGCCAGCTGCGCGTGCAGGTGCCCCTGACCAACCTGACCACACAGCAAGCAGCCAGCCCCCAGCCAAGTCCGTCGGCAGTTCCAACTTGCCTTGCAGGCACTCGACTCTGTCGACTTAACCGCTACTCTGCAGCGCAAAGCCTGTACGTTCCAGTTCGTCCCGCCGATTGATCGTGGGCCTGTCCGCAAGTGCTGTGCTTGACCACTGCGCTGTCAGCTGTGCTTGAGGCTGCAGCAACGAGGTCGCAGCCATGCGTGCTTGGAAACTGTGGTTCTTGCTGCCCAGGATGTTGTTGCACAGGGAGCCTGGAAGGAACATTGCCCAAACGAGATTGGGACGAGGATTTGCCGCATTGCACGTGGGCAGGTAGGAAACGCTGCTACACCAAGCAACTCCAACGGGTGCCCGCTTGCCCCCTGAGGGACAGCAAGGAAGACGCGGGAAGCAAAGGGGCCAGACTGGGACAAAGCGCGAGCGTGGGGCGGCACGTTGCCATCCCCTGGTCCGGTCTTCCGAGGGGTCCTCGGCGGGGGTGGGGGGGTGTGTGCGGCGGCCACGAGAACCAGTGGCTGGGATGTAGCCATCGGCAAGCGCGCACCTCCCTGGCAACGCTAGCCCACTCGAACCCAAGGTCATGGAGCCGTTGGCAAGCATCGCAGTAAGAACGCGCGGAAGGGGAATCGGCCTGAGGGGACTCAAGCTGAGGCAGGATAGTGGAGAACACGTCGGCCGGATTGCGAGGGAAGGCAAACAATCCGCCCAAGATGCCCTAAACGCGGGCGTGCTGCACAGCGCTGCGGTGGCGAAAAGCAAGGCTGGCAGCCGAGTCGGGCAGATAGTCCGTCTGCTCAAACTGCAGGAGGTTCGCCAAGCAGTGGAGGACGGAACAGTAGCGAACCCGCGTCTGCTCGGGGGACGTAGTGGGCACGCGCAGAAAAGGAACAACCAAGGTCAGGCCGGGGAGCTGGGAGAGAAAGGCTGCATGGTCCGCGCTGAAGGCAGCCAGGATTGTGCGGCACCGTCAGGGGGGACGGACAACCGGATGCCATCGAGAGCGACCAAAAGGGCACGGCGCAAAGGGCCTCGCAATAACTGCGGTGGAGCACGGAAGGCGGGGCATGGCTGACTGAGGACACATTCCGCATTGAAAGGGTCAAGAGCTGCGAAAGCTTGTTTTCCAAGGCACATCTTGCACTTTAAGGGCTGCTGCGCAGCCTCGCAAACGGGGGCGTCCGAGGAAAACTTGGAGCTCCGAATTGTTTAGGTCAGCGAAGCCAATAGCTGGGGGCCTCCAACGTTGCATGTGCCAGAAAAGCCAAATTTGTGGATCGATAAGGCATCCGCCTTGCCCGTGCGTCTTAGTCGCGACACGAGGCTATTGCAACAGAATGAATGAACGTCCATGGCGTGGACGGACCATGCCGACACAAGTGCTCAAACACCAGAATCTTCACAAGAACTTCCTACTAGGCCACATGCGTGCAAGTCAACTCATGCAGATCCAATTATTTGGGACAGCTTGACGTCCAAAGCTCAAAGCGTGACGCTGCGGCAAGACCAGGGTTACGGAACAGCCAGGAAGCTTGCAAATCACCAAGTGCCGGCAGCCGCTCCAGCAACTTGTCCTGACCCGCACGGGAGTGGTCCAGCTGGGGCGCACGATATGCCAGCGATCCAGCGTGCTCCCCTGCTCCAGCCAGAGAGGTCTCAGGCGCGGCTGCCGAGGGTGGGAACCAGTGCACTCAAGAGTGGGATTTGGCTATCTGGAGCGGTCGATATCCTCGTAAGGCTCGGATGGCCGGCGCGTCGCGAAGCTCAGCCAAGGTTGTCTCCCAGCAGGCCGGCCACAAGGGCGGAGCTGGCGGCCAACCGCTCGCCCAAGCGGACAGGGTCACTCAGTCGGCCCGTTGCTCGGCGCTGGGCGGCGCGCTGGGCGGCGCAGAAGCGGTTGGGGAAGCTTGGGGGCCAAGAAGCCCATCGGACATCCGTCCACGAAAGAAAGCTGAGGCGTGTTGGTCACGCGCACGCCGGCTACCTATCTACCTCGCATGGTCCCATCGCGCCAGAAGGAAGCTGTCGCTTCGGATCCACGCTCGTCGCCGCATCAGGTCAAACATCCCCTACCTCGCCTCACACCCACATCCGATTCAACGCTGGCAAACCCGTGTCTGGAACGTGGCGGCAGCCGGAATCCAGCAGATCTTTCAATGTTCACCACGATTGTGCTCCCTAGTCACCAACGCGGCTTGCGGAATGCAGCTGCAGTAGGGGTTGACCAGGGGTTGACCAACCCCGCGCAACAACGTCCTGGGCACAGTTTCCGAGCGCGGATAGCAGCAACCTCAGCCGACTCAACGCAGCTGAAGCGCTGTGGCCAAGCGCTGGCGACCAACTGAAACATTGGGGTTGGGTGCTGAACAAATCAATGGAGTCAGCGCTAGAACGGCCGAACCTACGGGGCTGGCTGCTGGCGCATCCCAACCTGTTGCGGCCACGTCGGCCAAAGTTTCAGACGGCTCGATGCTGCGGTCGCGGTCGCTGCGACGTTTCGTCATCCCGCGAAAGAAGCCTGGCCACGCCGCCTTGCGCCGCGTGACGGTGCTGGCCCTGCATGCCTTGGGGCGTGTTTGGTGCGAGCTTCACCGCTGCTCGACAAAAGGCCAAGGGGACGCCACGTTCTTCGGACAGAAAAGACCTTGTGGCATGCGTCGACGGAATTTCCATTGTTGCGACGTATTCGACAGTGCGCGTACAACTGGTCTGCAAAGTTGCTGGTATGCACCATATTAGCCAAACGTTGGCTGAACGGCGCGCCCTGAGGCGTTTGAAGGTCAAACGACGGAATGGGGCGCTCCCATTCATTCAGGTTTTGAAGTAGAGGCAGTGAGTCGTGTGGATTGGCAGATTTGGGAGCAAGGCGCCCAATAAGCAAAGGTGTCGTCCTTCAAGTCCGGTGAAACTTGTACATTCCATGTGCACCTTCGTCACCTTCGGAGCTCTTCCAGTCTCGGGTCCGCAGGCCTCTCGGCTTTTCCTCGAGCCACGTGGAGCCGCGCGAAGCAAGCGAAAAATACGAACATCCTCCGCCGCGAGGCGACCAGCCGTGGATGTTCCAAGGATTCACACACGCGTGACAGCCTCAAGAGAAGAATCAGCTGCAAACAAATAAAAGACTGAGCAAGGCGTGCGAAACAGCTTCGGCCTAATCTCGCAACTGGCTTCAAAACTGGCCACGCTCAGAGCTCGTCGACAACCTAAGATGCAAGCTCCTCAAAACGCCGGCTGGCCCGGCTGAACCGGCTGACCACGGCGACGCAATGGCCAAAAGCATGTTCCATGCCGAGCCGCTTTGATCGGCAACTCGCGCACCTCCTCCTTCTCCAGCTTGCACTTAAGCACCTGGCTGCAATCTGCCATCTGCTGAGCTTCTCTCGCTATCTCCGACGCATCCAAGGCTCCGGCCCAGCCATCCTGCGCCTCATCATGCCTGAAGTCAACATCTGCGGTTGACCAGCCTCGTCGCCTTATTCAAAGCTGGGGCCCCCCGCTTGCAAGAGTCCGCCGAAACGGTCACCGGCAGCTTCACCTTAAGGCGAGACATCGGTGCACATGGCGCGGGGGCTCGCGCATACACTTGCCTTGCTGATGGGAGACGCAGCCTCAGTTCTTGCACAACCCTTTCATCTGCAGCAAGTTCATTGGTACCGCACCTCTCCGGCACCTGCGAGCAGTGTTCAGCTTGGAACAAATCTGTAAACAGTTTGCTTGCTTCGGGATGCTGTGCATCATGTCGCCTGCAATATTTGCAAAGTGACGTTTCTCACCCCTCCGCATCCAAAGTACATCTAACAACACAGGAGGCCATTCAAGTGGTGCTGGGCTGTCTGCGAACTTCTTATCACACTGGCACAGGCACGCTGCAAGCAACAAGGAGGGTGGATGCCGATCACCAGCACTGTTCCAGCAGCTCGGGGCAAAATTCAGGGTACAGCTCACCTCAACATCAAATCAACACCCGGATCTCCCACCACCTCCCCTGCCCGCATCGCCATCTTCCCGCATCGCTTCGGTTCTCTTCGGTTCGCTTCGGTTCGGCCGCCTTCGCTCTCCGTCGCATTGAAGACGAGGACCTCGCTGCCACTCGCCGTGGCGCGGGTGTTTTGGGGCATCGCCACCTCGATGAACTGCTCGCCTGGCGTCGAGCAGCTCCCAAAACCGAAGGGACTTGAAGGTGTCGGGTGTGTCTTCTTCCCTCTTGGTTTGGAGCCCGGCTTGGAGGTCTTGGTTTCCTTACGCCTTCCCTTTTTATCAAAAAGAGGGCTCCCTCATTTTGAAACGGCGAAAACTCGGCGCAGCTTCGCATCGCCTTCGCTCTCGCCAGAAAGCTTCCAGTACGGCAGTCCTGTCGCCGGAGCTCGTTGGATCCAGTTCAGTGTGACATCTGAGCCAAGCCCGCTCCAGCCCGCGAAGTCTGAGATGTGTTTGACACCTGGCGTCCGCAGCCAACAAGAAGGCTCAACACGTTTGCCATGGCCTCCGTGCCACTAGCGGCACTGGCGGCACTGGCGGCACTGGCGGCACTGGCGGCACTGGCGGCACTGGCGGCGGGGTCCGGGGACGCAGTCGTCTCCGTCTCCGCATCGGCGGGTTTCGCCACCGTGACGTTCCTGGACTTCTGGGAGGCTCACGCCCAAAACTCGATGCGCACAGCAAGAAAGTAAGAAAGTGAAAGGAAAATTCAGAAAATAGAAAGGAGCTGCCAGTTGAGCTGCGCTTGCTCCGCGATCTTGTAGACCTAAGTCCGGGCCGCCGGAAGCTTCGCTCGATGCACTCGGGGGCCGGGCAGCGAAGCGCTTCTCCCCAGCAGCACAGTGGGGGCTGGGAAAGCCTCTTCCAGCCTGAGCCGCGGATGGTTTCAGCTGGGCACCAGACGCGCGCCGCGCAAAGCGCGCCGCGCAACGCGCGCCTCGTTGGCGCAGCCGCACCATCGCTCCTCTTCGTCTTGGCAGGGCGCGCCGCAGCCGTCGTAGACACCCCACTGAGGCACCTGGTACAAACAGACACAAGCACATGGTGGGATGGTGAGCGCTCGAAAGCCCAAATCAAAAAATGTCGTGTCAAGAGCATCTTCGATTCCTTTTCGGCGCTCGTTGCCTCGTTCTCATGGAGGAAGCCCGCTGCTGTGAAGGCATGACCCACGGGCGCCTGGCAAGACCAAAAAGACGGAATAGAGAACCTCCCCGTTCGAACCCATCTCAGGCCCAAGCCGAGTGTCGGGCCATAGCGAAGTAGGGCACCTGCATTCCAGGCATCCGGCCCACCCTCCCTTTCGCCAAACAACCCGCGGCGCGCGCGGCCGCGGCGCCACTTTTTCCATCCGCGGGCTCGGGATCCAGCGCGAAGCGCCTGCTGCGAACGAGTCAAGCAGCAAAGGATGCGGAACAACGGCCACGCCTCAATGCCTTCCATCGCAACACAGCTGGATCTGGAGAGCCCACCTCAGATCACGTGGCCTGGTGTCAAGAGTTGGCGTGGCTTGAGCGCCCCGGCTCCTCTGCCGCAACGGGCTGGCTGCAGCGAAAAATGCGCCTGGCGCAAGGAACAACAAACATACGCAGAAACACAGCTAGAGACAGAAACAGAGACAAATGGCAGAGATAGCAGAGACACCGCATGAAACACAAACAGAGATGAAAGAGACATAGTGACATAGGCATAACACCAGCCACAGAGACACAAACAGAGACACAGCTGAAGACACAGACAGAGACACGGATAAGATAGAGAGGGAAAAAAGGAGGTTGCACCAAGCCCACCCGGCAGCCCTGGCACCGCCTGCCATTCCGCAATTGGAGGTGGACTTCAGATCCATGTGCTGCGACATCCAGGACCTTGAGTCTTGCGAAACAAACATCTGACGAGCCATGAGAGTGCAACCATGTGTTTTGATCCGTGGCAACCCTTCGCCCGGCCTCCTGAAGACAAAAGGACTCCGTGGGGTACGGCGCCGGCGCACGCTTCTGGCCGGAGTGAGCTGTCAATTACCCGGCTCTGCTGACTGAAGGCTGAAGGCGTCGTGCAATTCTCCGTGCCACCTTGAAGCTCAGGTAGCTCCGGGTGAGGACGGCCCACCTGAGCGTGCTGAAACCCGGGCAAGCCCGAAACACCCGGCCACGCGGCCCCGCACCCCGCCCGCAACCCGCTGGGCCGCAACCGGCCTGAGTCACTGAGGCGGCGGCCGGTCACGCCAAAATCCCAAGTGACGTGAGCATTTGCTCACCATCCCGGCGTGGACCGCCGCCTCGAGCTCCGTCCTGGAACCGAATGACGATGGGCCCCAGCATGCCATGCACTAAACTCGTGCCATGCCTCACGGATCCCAGTAAATAAGGAAATACCTCCCATACTACGAAATGCTTGCCACGCCAAGTGACATGGCTCTGGAAAGTGCCTGAGGCCCCTAGATCACTGACGCATCAGCGGCATTGACCATCCAAAATCAGTCGCGGGAGCAAGGTACTGGATCAGGCGTGAAGCACATGCAGCCCAGTCTTCGTTTGTCGCAAGAAAACAAAAAGAACTGCCAAAAGAGTGAGATGAACACTAAGAATATAGGAGTCCTACCACTCAATAACAAATCATGACTAAAAATTGAGCAGACATAACAAGAATGGGAGCTTTCCATCAGCCACAAGGACGAGGCTCTGGAGGCCGCAGCAGCGCTCCCAGCAGCAGAAGCTGCGACTCGTGCGGCCCAGGTGGCCAACGCGAGGCGCCTGTCGAGTCATCTTTCAAAGAATACTGTTCGGTGCTCCGTTCGGGGAATTCCCACAATAAAAACAAGGTGCCCGCAAAAAAAAAAACACGTCACGTGTCCACTGCAGGGTGAAACCCACAACCTCTTTTTCGGGAAGTTGCTCTTGTCGTATCAAACAAGACGTCGACTCAAAGGCCCACCTCGGCGCTCACAATGGAGCTGGTGTCGCTCTCTGCCTCCTCAGTCTCCTGTCTCTGGCAACGAGTGGAGTACCCACACTTTCAACAGCCACGGCCTCGTGCCTCTGCCGCCGGCTCCGGCAGTGGGCAACGAGACCTGAGGCTGGCGCTTCAGGCGCTCCAGGCGCTTCGCGAGGCGAGCTTCCCAGCGAGCCGTCGGGCGTCTCGGTTCGGGGTCTCGGCTCGGGGCTCTGGGGCCGCTGCACTCCCCGAGCTGAACCTCGCGCCGAGCACCACGTTCGGCGCGCACTCCGATGCGTCCATACGCGTTCAGAAATTCAGGGCCCCGCCAAAGGTGAGGAGCCGACTCCAGCTTCCCCTCGCGAACCACGTTGCGAGCGGCGTTGCGCAAATCGGTCCTTGCCTGGCATTCCATGCCTCGTGCCTGCACACTTGGCCCGACAGCGGGCCGATGCTGCTCACTTCATGCATCACAAGCAACGCGTCAAGCCTCTGCCCAACGTCTAAATGTCGCGGCAATGGCGGAAAGCCAGAAAGGCACGGGCTGTCAAAGTCAACAGCTCTTTGAATCTGACAGGAATGGACACGCTATGAAGCTGTCTTGAAGAGACATTGTCTTGTTCGCACAAGCTGCATGAGGCATTGCTTGTGTGGTTTTGCTGTGAAGCTCTTCGTGTCAGTGCATCGAGAGCTCTTCAGGGGAACCATTGCTCGAGTTGGCCGGGTGTCTTGAGACAGCTAAGCCTGCGCACAGGTCCCTTCTCCCCAACACGAAACGAGCAAGTGCTGGCCAGTTCGATGTCCAAGGCAGGCACATGATCATTCTGTGCGTGCCAGTACCTGTATTCGTTTTCCAAGGGGAGGCAAAAAACAAGCAAAAGGCGAGCCGGAGGACATGCCGAAGGACCGACACGCCGCTGGGCGCGCGCACATCGCCGCGAAGCTCGCGGCGTTGCCCTCGCCGTAGTACTTCAGGCGCACCTCTTGAAGTCGTCGGCCGAAGCGACGCCTCTTGACGCAAAATGCGAACACTCAACAAGAGTCAAACTGGCTGGTCAAAATTAGACCCTGGACTCGAACCTGCGATTTCGGTCTAAGAGGAAGCGCTCGGAGGAGCCTGCCCAAGTTGGGACTCCGCGAAGCAGCCGACCAGGTTCACCACGGCGTCCTTTGGAACTTTGGATCCGAGACAACTCAGAGACACGGCGCTGGGTCGGTCCTCTGGCACGTGGCTCACCATGGGGAGCTGGTTCCTGACATGCGTCCAACAGCAGTTCCATGTAGTGAGACTACTGTATTGAGCATAAGAATATAGCTGTGGGTCAAAAATATGTACCCAAAATGGAACCCTGGTAAGTGGAAACACGGACCAAAACCTGTGGTCCCCTGGTGGTTTAATTTTGACCCATACCCATATGATATCACGCATTAGTTATACATACCAGTGCCATCCACGCCTGGGGTGCATCTGATTCAGCTCGCCCAGGACCTGAGCGCGCAAGCCGGAAGCCGCCCGCCCTGCGTTTTGTCTCTTTGCGAGTGAGGCTCGTGCCTGGCCCAACACAGACTCCAGACCTACGGCGCACACAGTACCGCGAAGGCAGTCCCAATTCTGGGGATGTGGGTGGCTCACCCACTTTAAGATTTCGACCCCCAAAACGTGTGGTCGTCCTGTGGCTTTCAAAAAAACGACCAACCAATGCAGACCCCCAAAATGGTGGCGCTCGACGTCGACGGTTCTCTCCAAACCAACCACCCCGAAAAGGAATCCGCCCCTCCAAATGAATCCGCAAGCCGAGGCAGAGGCCCATGGGTCTGGTCGCCCGCAGGAAGCCTGCAGGCTGCGCCTGGCATAGACCCCGCGGAAAAAGCGGCGCGTGCTCGTGCCATGTGTGTGTGTGTGTGTGTGTGCCGCGAGCGCAACCAAATCTCAGGCGGCGCGGCTCTGAGCTTTTTCCACGCGAGATGCTTACAAGGCGCCATGTGTACAGCAGGCGGCTAAAATGTTGGAGCCTTGCGACGCAGGAACGACATCGAAGCCGGCCGCATCGAACCGTCGGAAGATCGTCGGAATGCTCCCAACCCTGGAAGGCTCGCTTGGGCATCCTAACGCAAACCCTCCCCTGAGGTTGGGCAAATTTGGTTTGCGCTTCAAACAATCAGACCCTCCCAACGGCAAGCCAACTGCAAAGCATTCAGCGCCCGGCCCGGGATCAGTTTCCTCACCTGGCGAAGCCGGCCGCAAGAAGAAGTCTCCGCGCACCGCGCACCGCCCTCCTCGCCAAGGTCGCGCCTGATCCTCAGGCCACTACTGCTGCACCGACACCTCGGCCGGCTCCTCGGCCTGCCAGCTTTCCGGGGTCCAGGCGAGGTGTCCTTTTTGAGGTTGAGGAAAAAAGCAAAAAAGAAGATCCCAAGTTGATCTCGTCTCCCCGTTTTTAAGACACTTGCTCTGGGACGGTTGTAAGATGTTGTAAGGCATGGGTTCTTCTTTCCCGGCCTCAGGTTTCACCTCCGCCTCAATTCTTGGGACTTCGGCGGGAGAACCTCGCGGCGAAGTCAAAGGACACGGCCACGGGCCACGTTTGCGGCAGCGCGTGTCGCATCGGCCTGCTGACGAGCCATCCTTTACACCCTCTTCTCCACCTTCGAAGCTCAGCGCTTGAGAGGGATGGATGAGTCTTGCAGCCTTTGGCCCCGCCGGTGGGTTTCTGTCCCAGGGCCCTGGCTGGTTGGAGAGGCCTCGGGCTCAAGCTCAAATCCCGAAAGGGATTGCCGATGCGGCTGGACACCCCAGGGCCCCACCCCAGTCGGGATGGTAATCGGCATGCCTCGCGAGCACTGAGTCGTGTCGACTCGAGTCAACTCGTGCGCAGGCTCGAGGCAGGCTATGGCAGCTCAAGACACTCACACGCCTGCATCAGGCTTCGGTTCCTCCAAAATCAGAGATCCCCCACTTCCTCTACCATCCCCGGACCCTGAAGACCCCAAAGCCCACAGGTGACAAAGGCCCTGCAACGCCACCAAATCACCGGCTGTCCTTGGGCGAGTCCAAATCCACGGCAGAGCGTGGGATGAAGACTGGCGCCTCTGCTCGCAGTGGCTTTGTGCTCGGCAACTTGCATGCCCCATGCTCCACATGCTGGCCATGTGTTCGATATGGAAAGGCCAGTGCCTCCGCATTGAAAGTGGTGGCAGCCTCGGCTCAACATCAGCAAGGCACAGGCCGGAGGCGCCGAAAAAAAACGCATCCCGGCCTTCTCGAGCATCAAGCGGACCTCCTCTTGGCTGGGCAAGTCTCCATCCTGCATCGAGTCAGACTTGGCTCGTCGTGAGGCGTCGCAGCATCGACCTGTCCTTCTTGGCGCCTTTCTTCCTGAAGCCATCGTCCCACTTCCCCACTTCCCCCCTTCCCCGCTTCGCCCCTTCCCGTCAATTCGCACCCCCTTCTTCCCCCCCCCAAAAAAAACAACCGAGAACCGCCAGCCGAGCTCTCGGCGGCACCGGCGCAGCCGCTAAGCCTGATGGACTTGCGGCCTAGCCTTGCTCTGTCTCTGTCTCTCCGAAGCGCCTGGAGGCGCAGAGCCAGCCAAGTTGGGGAAAAGCTGCGCCGCCTCGACACAGGGACGCACGGAGCTCTGGGAAGATGGGACCGGACTGACTCGGAGACTCACCGACACCGCCCGTTTGAGGAACCTGTGAATCGCCTCGCCTGTTGCTCCAGCTGTGTGAGCCGCTCCGTGAGGGCATCCAAGGCACGCTGCTTCGCCTCGAAAAGCGGCGGTTTTCAGGGTGGCCAGCTTGGCTTTGTGATAAAACGGAGTCCCAAGCTCCATGCCAGCTAGACGATTACCGCGGCTCACGAATCCTGGGTCCCAGACTTGCCCTGCCCGCAACATGCGATCCACCTTCTCAATCTGCGCATCCACCTGCCGAAAAGAGAAAACAACCTACCAAACAAGATCAAAAGAACAAGAAAGATAACAAAGAGAGAAACCCAAAAAAAAAAACGCCACGCCCCATCCGCCCCAACCGCCGCAACCGCAACCCAAGCGCCGCAGCCGTCCCATCGCCTGCTCCGCCTTCGGTGCCGGCTGGGCATCCAGCTCTCGCCTGGCCTGCGGTGCCCGCACTGGCAGAGGCTTTCGAATTTGAGATGTTTTTCAGATACTCAAAAAAGCCAAATACCCTCAAAAAAGTCACTCCCGACTCCCACAAAGACTCCATAGCCTCGAATACCCTCACACGCCCTCACGTACCCTGAGAAATACCCTTGACATGGGGATCTTTCGCAGGTCTCTCCTTCTCCAAGGCATCGCGGTGGTGTCGCATGAGGTCCGAATTGTGGTTGTGCGCCAGGATCGTGCGATGCAGGTCCTGGCGCATCCGATCTCGGCGCATCGACCCATCCGAGATTCGACCCCAAACTCGCCGGCATCGAAGCGACGGAATCCGCTCGACGGGATTCGCCTGCTTCAAGGCTTTCACCTCCGAGCCCCACTTCTGCTCCAGCTGCTTAATCTTCTGACCTACGGATTCTTTGTCCATGCGGAGGGTGCCCCTTCATATCCGTATGTATATATATATATAGTGTATAAGTTTGTGCATTTATCTGTCCTCTTCATATCCATGCGGAGGGTGCTCCTCTTTTGGTTGGATTGGTTTCAAGGGAAATTGATGTTCAAAAGGAGAAAAAAAGTATCATGCGTTGTTGGGGGGGTCCTGCTGTTGACACATGTTTGTGCAGTTGCAAACCTCGCCTCAGTCCGTGATTTGAGGCACTGGCTCAGAAAGGCCCGATCAACTGTCACAGAAGGATCTGGCGACCCAGTGCCTCTCGGGGAATCTCTGTCCATCGAACTCTTTTCAAAATCAAATCAGCGCTTTCCCCTTCTTCGCCTTCCCCGTTTCCCTGTCTTTTCCTCAAACCCCACTCACCCCTCCCTGTCCAAATCCCCTTTTCACCCCTCCGTTTCCTCTCCATCTGACCCATCTGACCCATCTGACCCTCTGACCGCCACGCAGGTCGCACCTGCCTGCGGAGTTGAAGCGCACACATCGAGCGACCCGATCGCCCAGCTCGCTAATGTGGCCCTGGCCGAGCGCCCCATTTGGGCGGCAAACTCCAAGCCGCCAACCGCCCACGGCAACTCTGAACCCGCGGCAAACCCGTCACTCCCACCAGTGGCCACTGGTCCCACCGGTGGCGGTCACTGGCGCCACTGATACCACTGGAACCCCAACCGGTCCCATCCTCCATCTGCTGCAGCTGAGGGCCGACCACCTCACATCCTCCAACTGCTGCAGCAGCACCATCTGCTGCAGCTGGGTGCGAGCAACATTGAGCTCATGCCTCGCACCGTGTCGGGCTTGTAGCAAAGTGCGCGCAAAGGATGACCCTATGACCGTGTGCCTACAAACGCGACTCCAGCCGCGCCTCACTCGTGCTTCTGAGTCCTTTTTGGCCTGCAGAATCATCTGCTCCACCTGGGCCAAACTTGTCAAACACATGCGGAAGACTCGACCAATCCCCAAAGCAACGACCTGCTGGCCGATGGCCGATGCCACATCCCCATGTAGCGATGCGGACCTCGGCCCGGCGTGAGCGCAAGCAGTGTGGCTCGCGGCAGCGTGAGGCATCAGGCGACGTGGGCGTTTTCCAAACTGGGAGGGCCTAAAACGGGTGGCTTCCCTTTGCTCCTCCCTTTCAAGCCAACCAATATGCGGGTTGACCATGTTGAGGTCCATGTGCCATGTGAAGCACTCGTCAGCGCTTAGTGTCCGGCATCGCATCTGTTGCCCCCGGCGCCCCCGCCCCGTGACGAAGGGCCAAAGGGCCCTTTGTGCTAAATGGCCAGCCGTCCGGGCAAATGCTAAGCATCAAACGAGCAGTGCCCAAGCAAAGCCATTGACAGTTGGCCTACCATGGTCCACAAGACTTATGCAAGCCTACCCCGTGAAGCCTGGCAGTAGAACCTACTAAAACAGCCTGCAACGCCAGAAAATCAGTTCGGCCTACCCTCGAATCGAGCCTGCACGCCAGCTATCTGATCCAGGAGACTGGGCAAACCGTTCCTGCACATCAACTCATGGCACATCCATCAGGCTTCGAGAGCTGGACAGGCGATCCTGAGCGCCCGCAGCGCCGGCGGCAACGCCTGAGCCCGGCACCCACCCATCCAACCATCCGATCGAGCCTCTTGCGAATCGGGAGCCTCCATGTCGTCGTCCTCCGTCTCCTCAGTGCGCAACTCCGAACACTCCCACCACTCCCACCACGCCCACCACGCCCACCACACCCACCACGCCCACCACGCCCACCACACCCACCACCACGCCCACCACGCCCACCACGCCCACCACGCCCACCACGCCCACCACGCCCACCACGCCCACCACGCCCACCACGCCCACCACGCCCACCACGCCCACCACGCCCACCACGCCCACCACGCCCACCACGCCCACCATGCCCACCACGCCCACCACGGCCCCCTGCCATCACATGCCCACACACGCACCCACACACGCCCACCACGCCCACCACCGCCCACCATGGCCGCACCCCGCCCCAACCACGCCCACCACCACACATCCTCCACACAGCCTCCACACATCCTCCACCACGCCCACCACGCCCACCACGCCCACCACGCCCACCACGCCCACCACGCCCACCACGCCCACCACGCCCACCACGCCCACCACGCCCACCACGCCCACCACGCCCTCCGGTTGGCACTCCTCCTCCGGTTGGGTCGCATTGCCCCGAGGCACGACCACCGTGAGGTTGCCACTGCTGGAGTTGTACCTCACGGCTTCCAAGCCCAACCACATGCAATCACTCGCACGTCGGGCTCACGTGACCGACACGTGGCCCATGTCACTGTTCTTCGGCACGGAGAAGACCCGCTGAGCAAGTGCAGCAATCGCGCTCTGGACATCGCCAAACAAGCAGCAATCTTCGGCAAGCAGCAAATGTGGCTGTGGGTCAAAACCAATGGTACCATTTTGGGGTAGGTGCACTACCCATGTTAAGCTATTTTAGTGGTTGGATTGGGATGTTCACTGGGGGTACGAATTAAATTTTGACCCATGGCCATGTGGGAAAACCCGGGTGGAAGCAGAACGCCGACACTGTGCCGAGCCGTGCCAGGCGGCCTGCCACTGGCTGACAATGGGGCCCTGGTGGTGAAGGCCACTGATCACCAGTGACCTCACGGAGCTGACGGTTTGCACGGACAAAGAACCTTGCAGGCGGGTCTCGGCGTTTTTTGGAGGGTCTCAAGGAGAAACCACATGGAAACCATCACTTTTTGGGGTCCCACAATTTTGGCGCATACTCATGTAAACTAGTACAACTGGGGTGTCATGACTTGCAAAGGCAGAAAAAAACGCGAGAACAGGCCAGCACACTTGACAACAGGCCTGCCGACCGCCCGCACCGAGAGCGGCTTCTCGCTCTTCTTGCTGAGCTGGCGCGTTCGTGTCGGCTGGGCGCTAGTTGGGGGGTGTCCTTTTGTAGGGACCCTCCCAACATGCAACATTTCGGTGCTCCTTCAACTTAGAAACAAAATGTAAACAACTAATACCAAATGTAAATTTGACCTCCCTAAAATTGGGTGCCAACTCGAGTTCGCCTCGTAGCCGGGGAGCACCGCGGAGATCAGGACACCGGACTCGTCGTTGTGCACCTCCCAACATGGAAGCGGAAGTCCGCGTCGGGGATGCGAACCAACTTGGGTCCACGTCCTCTTCTTTTCAGGGTTTTGACGTTGGCTTGAAAGGGAAGCCGAAAAAAAAAATCGAGTCCAAGTCCCTTTCCCACCTTGGGAGAGCCAACGGGCCAACGGGCACCAACCCCGGGTGTCCGTTTCGGCTTCCCACGTACCGACGCACCCGGCGCGGGCCTCGAAGGAGCCCTGGGCGAGGCCGTGGTGCCCGGCGTGGTGATCCCCGAAGATGTCCAGCAGCCCACCCAGCTGCACCTCGAAACCGAGAGCTAAACCGAGGTGCGCAAATGGGCGGAAGTCTCAAACTCCGGGAACCAAAGAATGGCAAAAGGCCAGCTACGGGTAGCTAGCGGGTTAAGAAATGGAAGTCTGCTTGTTTCCCACCAAACTGGATTTCGGGGTACTCCCTAGACCCACCAGGGTACAACCACACAAAAACAAGGAACCTCGCCCAAATGGACCCTCAAAAACGAACCAAGGAGCAGCATCCGGCTGTGTGTTCTCCAAACAGAATGGGGGACCCTCTAACCGAGTGTGGTTGGACCACCAAAAATGGCTTCTGTTTTTTCAGATAAGGCAAATGCGAGAATGCTGAGATGAGTTCAGCCAATCGGAAGTTGTCTTCCAAAGCAAGAGTTTGGGATGCGAATTCTTGCAACGTGAGATGCGCGAGAGTCGGATGCAACTGCGAGTCTCAGGAATTCTGAACACACCCGACTTCGCAAATCCTTGGCATGTGCGAGCGACACATCACAACTCGACGCTTCGAAGTTCCGCAGCCTGCATGGGCCGCACCATCATGCCCGGACCTGCACCCTCGGCCTGACGCTCTGAATCCCTGAGCCTCCCTCTCTTCCCATCTACTCATTCCATCCGGACTCTCTCTTCCCATCGTCTCTCCAATAGTTTCTCCAACAGTCCCAGTCCCTTGGCCTGAGCTTTGAACACGCGCTCCACGTTCTTGTGCAGGTCCTGACGAGAGATGAGATGTCAATCGCCTCCACGTCTTAGCCTTCCGCTCCTCCCAGGGGTTGAAGCCACTGTGGTGCTCCACCACGATGACCTCGGAGTGCCGTTTTTTGTTGGGGTGTAAACCCCTTTGGAGGTTTCGTTTTGTTTAAAAACGAACACCAAACACCAAACGCGTGTGTTTCGGAACACCAAAGAGAGGATAAGGATAACCCCCCCAACCACCCCCAACCCCCCCCACCCCCCCCACCCGACGTCTGATACGGGGGGGGGGGGGCCCCCCCCCCCCCAGGAATTTGATGACGTTCCACTAAACGTAGTCTTCGGGGACCCGGTGTCGCAAAACAGGGGTCCCAGGCTCGATGCCCCCTGCCGGCTTTTTTGCTGGCTTGGGCTTCCTGCATCCTTTTGCCGAAAATCTGGAAAAACTCTGTGTTTTTGGACATCATCTTTGCGAAAACGCTGGAAAAAACAGTGTTTTTTGCGGGAAATACTGGGGAGCAAAGGGGAAGTGCAAGGATACATACATACATACAGACATACATACAGACAGACATACAAACATACATACATACATTACATTACACAACATCACATTACATTACTTTAAATTACATCGCATTACATACATACATACATACATTACATTACATTACTTTACTTTACATTACATTACATTACTTTACATTACATTACAT